ATCTAATTTCAGAAGTAGATGGAATATACACAGAAAAAAAGATGTACTATATTCAAGATGAATGGTTTTATTTCAATGCTTTGTTGTGTTTGTATATCAGCAAGTAAAACTCATCTCGATTTGAAATTCTAGTAATACTTGTTCAACAACAGCTAATAAGCCTTGCTTCAAGATTATAATCAACTTGCCCTAACCAAAATACCTCTAATTAAATGCAGATTATCTATTGCTCAATTGCAGTATTATGTATATCTTAAATGAAATAGTCTTACACTTTTTTTAAATATACTTTATTTATATTTAATAATACCTTGTTCTTAAATCCAATACAACTAAATTTGTTACAATAATATTATGATTTTTGACATAAATATATTAATTTTGGTTGAATTATAGGATAGTTTCATTGAAGAAATTAATAATCTTAAAATAAGATCAGGCTGATCTTGCTTTTTAACAGGGTTCTTACTGGTACCTATCCACCGAAAAACATTTTTCAAAATTGCTTTTAGTTAATATACCAAATTCCTCTGTCCTCTGAGGTGTCCCACCTATAATTAAAAATAAAAAAATTTTATAACTTCAAAACCTAAATGGAACATTTTATGTTCCATTTTTGTTTGTCCTAAGATAAGAGGTCGTATCTACAAAATGAATATTTTTAGTAAATGTGGGTAGGTAGATAAGACTTCGCAAATAAGTTTTGTATATTTTACTAACCTTTCTTATAATTATAGTAAATATTTTCTAATGCAAATAGACCTTTAGTATTTTGAGTTATAATAAAATACAATGTAAGCTTATTAAATTTGTAAGAATCTTGATATCAGATACGATCTTTTGTCTTAGCAAGGCAGAAGTCGTCTTTCCAAAAAGTCGTCATCCAGCAACATACATTTTTTTACTTCTATTCCAGTTTGTTTCGTGTTCTTATGATTATAAATTTATTTCGGTGCTCAAGCAATATATTAATCTACATATAGAAAAGAAAATTCTTATCAAGTTTGAGCTCTTAATATCAATTTTAAGTACTTACTATTTAAATTTAAAGTTTTACCATTTAAAATGCATGTAAAAAATTTTCTTTTTTTTTAATTTCTAATGCTTACCCTCCTTTTACAATAATGCAAATCAATTTTATGGACCTTGTGAAAAATTTCATGCTCTTCGAAATTACTTTAGAATTTTTTTGTGTAACTTGCACTGGTTCACCAGTAGGAGACGTCAAAGTAGAGTTTTAAAAAAAAATTTTTTTTTTCAATTTTTTCGAGCAAACCGCCAAAAGTAGGGAGAAAAAAGGCCTGACTCATAAAGAAAAAGTTATCTGACCAATATATAATGAATTTACATATCTGAAAACGTAAGAAATTGATAAATAATAACTCATAATGTTATTTAGATTAATTTTTTCTATTGATTAATATTATATGGCTATATCCCTGTACAGACCGTCCCACTACCGCCCGCGCAGGGTTTAATTATTTTTTTGTATATACCACTACCGACCACGAGATTCTATCACATAATAAATATGTTGTAGTTCTGAAAAGAACTGATTTTGTTTTAGTAATTTTATATTCTTCTTATGTGACTCAAATGGTAATTATATTTGACAGCATATGGAGTACTGCCCTATATTGTTATTAATAGACAATTCTGCAACAATCCTATTTATGCGCCTACCAACTTGCACGTATTTTGGAGGTCGTTTCTTCGGAGATATGTTGTTTTCGATCCTCTGTTGAACAACATCGTAGTAATCTGAATCCTTTCTCAACGATATTAGTTCAATTATATTTTTAATTTGATTTTCCAATTAATCTATTTAAAAGACTGTGCCAGGATTCACAAACGTTGGCCGTCCTGTATCGCTTGCCGTGACAAATCCACAAATCCCTATTTGTTGCGTTTTCTAACCATTGGGACACAAAATAATCATTATAATCATTGATTTCTTCTTCTTCGCGAAATAAAAATATTCCTTATCAATAATTATTAAAATGTAAATTACTAAAACAAAATCAGTTCTTTTCAGAACTACAACATATTTATTATGTTATAGAATCTTGTGGTCGGTAGTGGGATATACAAAAATAAGTAAACCCTGCGCGGGCGGTAGTGGCACTCGAGCAGGTAGTTTTTGGTCGCGGTCGGTAATGGGACGGTCTGTAATGGCACTACACCATATTATATTTCCCTACACTAAAAACTTTCTAAGAATTATTATGATTTCTCACTCATAATGAATATAATTTCGAAGAGCGTGAAATTCCCCACAAGTTCCATCAAACCGATTTGCAATATTGTGAAAGGTGGGTAAGCATTAGAAATTTTTTTACATGCATTTTAAATAGTAAGTACTTAAAATTGATATTAAGAGCTCAAACTTGGTGAGAATTTTTTTTTCTATATGTAGATTAATATTTTGCTTGAGCACCGAAAACAAAAGAAACTTTGCGGAAATGAATCACCCTAACCTAACAAGAAGTGAACTAAATATACCTACATTTAAATATTGGTATCAGGTCGCTGAGGTCCCATTCGTTTAACAAATGTTCCATTTCAATTTAATTTATTCATACACTTATTAATTGAATCATAAAGAATTTCTAACAAAAAGTAAAACGCAACCCTAACGAAACGATGCAAACATGTTAGAAAATGGACAATAGGATGAACACGTGCTAATGCCAATTTGCCAGATTATCTATAAATGCGTTGTGTCTCTGATTTCCGAATAATAAGTATCACATCTCAACATGTGCCAGTCATTTATCTACCGTATCAGTGCAGTGGTTGCATTTTAAAATAAGTTTCAGCTGGCAATACCGTGCAGTGAATCTGTACTAGCTAATCTTTTGTGAAGTACATATGTTTTTGATTCGAATTGTTTAATTATTGTTCTGAAATTTAACTGCTTTGAATCGAATCCTTTTATAACATTGAATCAAGTACGCAATAGTCGGTTTTAAGAGCAAATCACACTTACAGTAAACGTAAGAGCTTTCTTGGATTAATTCACAACTCTTTACTCGAATGAAATAATTTATTCTCAGATTAGTTAATATAATTAATATACAAGATTATGCCTATACTTCACTCAACATTTATTTTCTTATTTTATCTAGAAATATTATTTGAAGCAAACTCTGCTTTATTTCAAACAAATGTAATCTTCCAAGTGTAAAACTTTTCTTGAATTAAGATGATAATTTTTTCTATGTAGATATTTTTGAAACTAGCAAAAAATAAAAATCACTAGGGGACAAATCTGATAAATACGATGTATGAACAAGCAACTATGTTCCAATCATAAATAACTTTTTATACTGTTAGTGTTTCTTAATACGTTAATCGCCTAAATAAAAACTTGTTTGTACCTATTGGCCACAGGAAATAACTAACTCATTGTTTATGAAAATACATAAAAATATTAACATAGTGATTATTGACAATTGTTTTTGATAAACGATATCATATTCAATGTCTGTCACTGAACATTCTCCAATACCTTCTTGTACAAGTCTATGTGCGTTGCCAGTTTATACGGAACTAACGCGTTATAACGTTGGCCGGACAAATTCAAACACTTTAATTCGTTATTATCATTAATACAAAAATACACTATTAAATCAATATAACAATTAATGAACCAATAACAAAACAATTTGAAAATTTAATTGCAGCCATGATTGATTATTATGAACCCGATAAAATCTATTTAAAAATATTGCAGAGATTCTCCAACTAAAAGTATTTGTACTATTTAGATAAAACGTTAGAAACTTATCCAGTGTCACACAGTTTTCTTAGGAACTGAAACTACTAATTAACTTTTATGACGGCTTGACCATTCACAAAATGAAGCAATAAAACAATAATGTTTGTCATAAACCTTTGGCGCTCGTATGTATTAAATCATGAACCATCATTCTATGGTCAGACAACTTTATTATTATAGACGAGTTTCATTCCCAAGGTGACATTAGTTGTATCGTTATTGAATATCACTATTAATAAATGATATTTATTACATTTCAAATTTAAATATTAAGAAAATGCTAACATGCTAACATGTTACAGAATGCAATAATTCTGTAAGCTTCTCAAAAATCAAAGGAAAAAACATTCTAAGGATAGTCCAGGGAAATTTTTGCCGTATGTTTAATATACTCCCTGTATACGGTTATAAATATAAAGAGTTTGCATTTGGGAATATCCTGTATTTTCGTGAAAAACTTTTGGAATTCCTGATGTTCCCTATAGTGCCAACCTTGTTTGTTTTTTTAGCTGCTTAAGCGTTATAATTACATTTCTCTATTATAAAGTTTATGATGTTTAGATTAATGGTAGTTGTTGAAAACTAAGTTGCTTCATTTTCTCAACTGACGAGATATAAAAAAGTGTTCTGAATATTTAATAATTTCCACAATAGTGAAGCAGAGAAATCTAATGAATTACGGGATGTTGTTGTTTTCCCTACTAATTTATTTAATGTCTAAAAATAATTATTGAATCTCATGATGTACCTAATTGTTATTTGGCATCATCAATATAAAAAAATTGGTAGTATTGTTAGGTGTGTAATGACACTAGGTTCTCTGAATATAAAGGGTAACTAAATAACAATCTTTGTGATCTGCAATGTGTCATAATTTGGGTTTGATAATAGCATGGGACCAGTTGAATCCTAAAGGATTTAACAATAAATATATTAATACTGTTCTTAATAGTGTAAGCATTATATTACTCCAAACTTGGATACGTAGCCCTTAACTCCATATTTACATGTCGCACATGTCGCTGTGAATAACACGCTAAGTGAGCTCCTACTACTTTTAATGTTATTTAATATTCCTGAACGGCTTGTGAGATAAATTGATCTGCTAAAGTGCAATTAAAAGTACTATACCATCGTTTAAAGGTGATTTTGATTAAAAAGTGCATATTTTGATTTTTGATTTACGGTCGAAAAAACATTGTTGTTACTTTGGTAAGAAATGTCATCCAAAAACAAAAGCGCTAGTGGTACTGGACAAATTAATGAAAATATGGTGGAAATGATGTCCAATAAATTAGCGACGAAAATAACTGAGAAAATTGAAAATCAGTTAGAAAAATTAGATAAGTACTTTGAAAAAATGGAACGCCAGATTACTTATGTTATAGAGAAATTAGCGACTGTGGGAAAAGTAGCAGAAACAAACATAGATAAAATAAAATTACTTAATGATAAAGTCGAAAAATTAGAACATAAATTAAAAACAAAGCCTTTAAGAATTATTGGTTTAAAAGAGGAGCCAAACGAAAATCTGCTAACAGAGGTAATGAACCTGATTAATAAACTACTAAAAGTTAAATGGAATGAAATTGATATTGACAATCTGTATCGTACAAAAAAGTAGGCAACAATAGTACTAAACCAAACGTCGTACTTATAACATTTATATCATGTCTAAAATGGAACGAGGTTTATGCAACTACAAAAATTCTTAAGGGAACATCCATGTATATAAATGAAGGTCTTACCAAGGTAATATATAAATTGCCAGGCAGTGCAAGAGAAAAGTATAACAGTTCAGGAATGGGAGAATTTTTGCTAGAATTGGCAACGTCAATTCAACAAGTCTGCGAAGATGAAACTAATGCAGAAATGTGAAGCAACAAAAACTAAGTAGATTGTTTAAGCTACATATTGTGCATATTATTTTTAGGAATCAGTAATGGTAGGTTCACACGATCATGAATCGTTATTATATTTTATTTTATCTTCAGAAATATTTAATTTCTATAAATTTAATTGATTTTCTATCTTTGGAAGGAGCTCATTATTATGAACAAAAATAAATTCGAAAAACCTAAATGTTTACTACCAGAATTGTGGGGGTCTGAATACAAAAACTAACGATTTTTTTAGGGAAAGTATATCCGATAATTTTGATATTTTAATAGTTGTAGAGACATGGTTGCAAGAAGGAGTTTCAGATGGAGAAATTGTCGATATACATTTTACAAACAAAAGCAGCGAGGGAGGAGTGTTAGTAGCTATAAAAATCTGATGTGTCCAACATATGACTTTCCTATCTAGTTATTATAGGCTTTTTCCGGTTATTTTGTACAACCTATTGCAGCATCTCTATAAATTTTAGAGGATAAACTAAATATATACATTGTCCACATACATCTACCTCGAACCATTTTCTATAGATATTCATTGAAAACGAAAATACTGAAAAATTTAAATTTAGCACTTTTCCATTACGGTCCATTTTATAAAAATCATGTATAAACAAAAATTATAGAGATCGATATCGCAAACAACTTTTAGTTCAACAATTTTCATAAAAATCAGAATTTTGCACATTTTGTCAAATTTCTCGAATACGGACCATTTCAGGAAATTTTGACATAAAACAAAAATTATAGATAAGAATATTAGAAGTAACTTTTATTCGAACAATTTTCTTCTCCAAATATAAATAACAGATATATTCCATAAAATATAAAAACGGCCTCCCATAAAGTACCCCCCTAGATGTTCCGACTTTGTCCAAAATCTAATAATTTCACGTCAGGCCGAAATAAACCTTAAGTTTAAAATTTAATGATTTTTTCTTTATCCGCTTTTGAGTTTTCTTCAAAATTCGAAATTTACACATTTTCTCAAATATCTCGAATACGGTCCATTTTAAAAAAATTAGGTGTAAAATAAAAATTATAGAGAATCATATTACAAACAACTTTTATTTGAACAATTTTTATTAAAAAATGTTTTTTTTACATTTTGTCGAATTTCTCGAATACGGACCATTTTAGGAAAATTTTGTATAGAACAAAAATTAGAGATAATTATATTAGAAGTAACTTTTATTCAAAGAATTTTCTTCTCCAAACGTAAATAACAGATATATTCTATAAAATATAAAAATTACCACCCATAAAGTACCCCCCCAGATGTTCCGACTCTGCCCAAAATCTAATCAGTTCATTAGACGCTGGAATAAAGCTTAAGTTTAAAATTTGGTCTTTTTCTGTGTATCGGTTCATGAGTTATGCGACATACAGACACACACACACACAGACACACACACACACACACACACACACACACACACACACACACACACACACACACACACACACACACACACACACACACACACACACACACACACACACACACACACACACACACACACACACACACACACACACACACACACACACACACACACACACACACACACACACACACACACACACACACACACACACACACACACACACACACACACACACACACACACACACACACACACACACACACACACACACACACACACACACACACACACACACACACACACACACACACACACACACACACACACACACACACACACACACACACACACACACACACACACACACACACACACACACACACACACACACACACACACACACACACACACACACACACACACACACACACACACACACACACACACACACACACACACACACACACACACACACACACACACACACACACACACACACACACACACACACACACACACACACACACACACACACACACACACACACACACACACACACACACACACACACACACACACACACACACACACACACACACACACACACACACACACACACACACACACACACACACACACACACACACACACACACACACACACACACACACACACACACACACACACACACACACACACAGACATCATCGTGAAAATAGTCAAAACGGATTCAGGGGACCTCAAAACGTAAAAATCCGTCGAAAACTCGAGGTAGAAAAAAATTAGGATTCCTATACTTTCCTTATATCTGTATACAGATAGGAAAGTAAAAAAGAAGTATAAAATATTAAATATTGTTAGAAATCGCAGCTCATTTGAAGCCTTATTGGTAAATTTAAAAGTAAGTAGTCAAACATACACATTAATTGTTCTTTATATACCTCCAAATAGCTCTGTTGAAACATACGAAATGATTTACAATTTTATACAAGAACAAATCATCAATATAAAATATACTTATAGGAGACTTTAATATCCAAGGTATTACCCATAGTGACATAGCACCTAACAACAATGAAAAACTTTGTGAGTTAAACGATTTTCTAGACTTCAATAATTTAAAGTTATTTAATAATATAAAAAAATTTCCAAGGAAAAATCTTGGTTTTGAGCTTAGAAAACATAAATTTATGTGTAGTAGAAAGGGAATCGGTTCCTTTTGTAAAAGAGGATATCTACCGTCCTACTTTCAATATAACTATTAATATTCCAAACATTTTTAACAAATCTACGTCTTATAATACAAAAGAAGTTAGATATAATTACAAAAAAAGCTGATTTTCTGAAGTTAAGTACATGCGTTAGGGAGACAGATTGGGTAAATGTGTTGATCTAGTAAATCATGATATGTTATTGCACAAGCTAAGTAAATTTGGAATAGCTCAAAATCTTTTAGAATTAATAAAAAACTACTTAACTAATAGATATTTCTTAATCAGGTTTAATGGGAAAGCGTCCAGTAAGTACAAAGCAAATTCGGGAGTTCCGCAAGGCTCTAACTTTACTTTTTACATTGTTTATAAATGATTTGCCTAATGTAATTATTAATTCAAATTGTTTGCTATTTGCTGATGAATTTAAAGTTTTCAAACAAATTCAAGCATTGCAGAAGGATTTGAAAAATATTTATAAATGGAGTTGTGAAAATAAATTATTTTTTAATATCAATAAATGTATCATTTTAACAATAACTCGCATAAAAGATCAAGATCTTTTTGTCTATGAAATGAATGGAGAAATTTTGGATCGGAAAACAGAGGTACGAGATCTAGGTCTAACATACAATAATATGTTTTCGTTTTCTGGTCATATACAAAATATTATTAAGGCGGCCAACCGTACTTTAGGATATTTATTAGACAAACTAAGGAATTTCATAATATACTCACAATTAAATTGCTATTAAATTGCTATTAGTGAGACCGAGACTCCGAATTTGCCTCAGTAGTCTGTATGGGGATAGGTCAATCGTTGTTAAATGATGTTGAAAAGGTACAAAACAAATTACTGAGGCAATTATATTTTAAACAGTATCACATTTGGCCTGACTATTTGACTGTTAAAAGCAATGAGCTCAGATCTAAGTTTAATGTGTTATTTTTGGACCAAAGATGCACTTTAACAAGTATAATGTTCGTGTATAAAATAATAAATCATGGAATAGATTCTCCGGAAATTTTATCTTTATTAGGATTCAATGTACCTCCAAGACGCACTCGCTCCTCTCGTGTATTCAACATTCCCAATAAGTTCTTATCATTTCGTGCTCCTCTTGCAAGCACCCTTAGACTAGCAAATTAGGTTATTACGTTAATTCTCTTAGATTGGTCTAAATCTGAAACAGTTTTTCGTAACGAAATATTAGAATTAATTCTGAATAACTCATTGTAGTTTTTATGTTAAAGGGTTTATACTTTTGATACGAAAACCTAACATATCTCAGTAAAATCGATTAAGGAAACAAATATACTATTCTATTTAAAACAACTATACAATCTATCAAACCCAAATATGGTCCAATGCAATAACAAATATATAAAATATAAACTTACCAATTGCAATACTTGGAGCACATGACACAACCCTTGGCTAACCCTTAAAACCGCGATTCAAAATAGAAAAACCGCGATCTGGAGTCGCTACTGGCAATTCTCTACAAGGAGGGCTCCCTGCACAGATAATCTTGCTCTGTGGCAAAAGCCCCGTGCGTTTCCCCGAAATTATCTTTATAAGTTTTTCAAAGTTTAATGTTTTATAATTATTATATAAACATTGTACATGATAGCAATTTAAAACAAATTTGGGACCTTAATAAAAAAGGTTTCATTTATAGGATGCTATTTAAATAAGTATTAAATATTTGAATAACAATGAATATGAAGCGTGACAATAGGCCGTATTTATAAAAATGAAGTGTTTCCTTCAAAGCTAAAGGTAGAAATAAAAGGTAGAGCTCACTAAGAAAAGGTAAAAAGAAAAGGTTTTGCTTTACTTCGTATTTATAAGCTTTTCCTTTTCTTTGCAAGCAAATCCTTGCAAAAAAAGGAAAAGGTATACACACGCGAGTTAGCTGCTGCCGAACAACTTAAAACTTGCAGTTGCAGGGGAAGGGTGATAGTGCGTTATTAATGTTATTATAGTAGTATACCGGGACATGTGAGAGTGTGTGCTGGTAAATATAAATATAGAAAGTTTTATTCGGAGTTTTTATTTTACATTTGATTGAGGTTTGTTCAATATTTGTAACTGAAGATGACAAGTGACGAGGAAGTGTCAGACGACCAATTAGAGTCACAAGACAGCCGCGATGAGCAATCTGAATGTATGTTTATTTCAGAAAGGGTAAAAAAATAGCCAGAAATATTGGAAAAATCGCAGCTCGCCATGAAAAAAGCGAAGAAGCAAACGGCTATGGAGAAAATTGTTACAGAGTACAGACAGCTGTATGAAAGAGACATGACCTTAAAAACATTAATGAAGAAAGTGGGAAATTTTTGTTCTCTGTCCATTTCACTTTGGCTTCCATAATTTCGTT